TTATTGCTATATATATATATATATATTATTTTGAATATTTATTATTCAATTTCATCTCTTAAAATTTAATTTTTATATTAACTCTGGTTTTTATTTTTATAATTATTGTTTTTTTTCCCTTATTATTTTTCATTGAAATTTTTTATCTATCAAATTTGATCCTCATTATTTTTATTTTTATTTATTTTATTTGAAATAATTTATAAAATATTAATATTATTATTTTAATCTCATCATCTTTTATTTTTTTTATTTTTTTGATTTGATTTCTATTATTTTGATTATTATTTATTTTATTTAAAACAATTTATGAAATTATATTTTTTTCAATTTCATTCTCATTCAAATTTTTAATTTATAATATTTTTTTCTTATTATTTTAATAAACTTGAGAAAAATCAAACATTAATAAGTTATTTTCCAACTCATTTTTCAAAATATAACTAAACACTAGAAAGTGTTTTTCAATTTATTTTTTATTACACTACCAAACATCAGAAAATAATTTACTTTTTCAGAATTCACTTTCCCAAAATTCACTTTTTAAAAAAAAAAACTTTTCAGCAAATAAACGAGGCCTAAAATAAACTGTTTTGTCGGAATTAGATCTTCTACCACTATTTATTAAGTTTGTAAATTCTAGAGAAATGAATATTGAAACATGTGATTACTATTTAAACATTTAAAAAAACTTCTTCTACGAGTATGTTAAATTTTCAAGCATTATTAATGATTTACTATATATTATGATAAATGAGATTCAAACTCTTAATGCCTCATTGAGCGAGCAATATCTAAGAAGCTTTCTTACAGCTAAAATAACCTGTTTTCTAAATGAATTGATTGTGCAACAAACTTTTACATTAAAAATATCAAACCGATTTTCTTACTCTTACTTTTATATATTGCAAGCAGAATTGATGTTGCCGTACTAATTTTATATTTATTTCTTGAAATTTATTTTTTTAAAAAATATTTTTTAAATTTTTCTATATTTATTTGTCATTATAAAAGTTGATTAATAGACAGTCAAAGAAAAAATTAACTTAGTTTTCATGAAACTGTTTTCTTGAAAAATTTGAATGGAAAATAGTTTCTGAAAGTAGTGAAAAATTTAGAAATGTTATATTATTTGCTGATTATATTAAATTTGGTCTTCAAATTTTTTACTGCTATATATATTTTATTTTGAATATTTATTTTTTAATTTCATCTCTTAAAATTTAATTTTTATATTAACCCTAATTCTCATTTTTATAATTGTTATTTGCTTTTTCCCTATCATTTTTTTATTAAAATTTTTTATCTATCAAATTTGGTCCTTGTTCTTTTGATTGTTACTTATTTTACTTTAAATAATTTATAAAATGTTAATTATTATTATTTTAATTTATTAATCTTTTATTTTTTATTTTTTAGATTTGATCTTTATTATTTTGATTATTATTTATTTTATTTGAGATAATTTATGAAATTATATTTTTTTTAATTTTATTATCATTAAAAATTTTAATTTATAATACTTGTTCCTCGTTATTTTAATAAACTTGAGAAAAATAAAATATTAATAAGTTATTTTTCAACTTATTTTCCATGACATAACCAAATACTAGAAGTGTTTTCTAACTTATTTTCTATTATACAATCAAATATCAAAAAATAATTTATATTTCTAAAATTTATTTTTTAAAAATTTACATAAAAAAATTATTTTTTAACAAACAGGTCTCAATATGTCTCAATATATGACACATGGTGTGCTAATGGTAGATCCACAGCTATGAGAGCTCGACCATGAAGCCCAAAAATAGTGGCTCGAAACCGGATAAAGGAAAGAGGATATGCCCCATTGGGCCTTGGACCATATCAAGGCAAACTTAAGTAGCTGTGTTGTTGCGCCCCTTTGCCACAGGCTGGGTAAATATAAATAAACTTTTATTTAAAATCACCATACTTTCATTTCATGTACATTACTTATTTTGGTGTATTATTCTATTTTTTTTAAAAAAATCTATCATCAATTTTTTTAAAAAAATAATGATAGAAATAAAAATAAAATCGCACACTATTATTATTTGTACTGTTATTGTAACTACCACTACTCCAAGGACTAACTTAAAAATAAATAAATTAAAAAGATAAAAATTATCATAGATATGAGTACATCAAGCCTAACCATTTAACAACTTGTTTGAAAGTGTAATAAAAAATTATATCTTAAAATATATTAAAATAATATTTTTATTATTTTTTTAAAGTTATTTTTTACATTGTCATGAAAATTAATTTTATTAGTGTGAGATACTGATTTCTTCTGGAATATTTTTTGTTTCAAAGTATATTAAAATAATATATTTTTTATTTTTAAAATTTTATTTTTAATACAAGTAATCCAAAACATTCAAAAAAAATAATTTAAAGTAAAATCAAAATTAATTTTTCTGAAAAACGCCGTGGGGCAGCTTAATCAAACATGGTTAGTTGGCCACAGAAGAAAACCTGTGCAAAACACTTTGGTTGCTGATACCTATATATTGACAAATAATAAAGTCACAGCAGATCTTAGATGAAGAAACTAGTTTTCTTAACCATGGTGTTTGCTATTTTTTTCCACTTTAAAAAAATATAAACGTTAGGAAATTAATTTATTGATGTATATGGACCAAAGAACTTTTAAATATGTGACATATTATATAATATATTCTTAAAATAATATTAAAACAATGAAACCATCTAGGTGGTGGCCAAGTGGTAAGAACTTGGGATCAAGGGGTTTGCTCCCTCTGTAGTCTCAGGTTCGAGTCCTTGGTTGCTCATATGATGGCCACTGGAGGCTTACATGGTCGTTAACTTCAGGGCCCGTGGGATTAGTCGTGGTGCGCGCAAGCTGGCCCGGACACCCACGTTAATCTAAAAAAAAAAAAAAAAAAAAAATTGAAACAATGATATATGAATTGACCAGGATTAATTATAATTAATTTGTGAAATTCACAACATATAGTACGAGGTCGTGATAAAATCAGTGAATTCATATTAAAACAAATTAGAGAATTTAATTATAATAAATTAAATATTGAAAGTTGAAAACCATAAAAAATTAAATATTAGAAAAGTGATTTAAGTAAACCTGCATTGATGATCAGTGCACAACTGATTTAGCCAAAAATTGTCAAATATAAGAAGAAAAAGCTCCATGCAATACTAGGACTTTTATATATATATATATTAAAAAACCTGTTTTAGTCCTTGAATTCTTGAGTTTAATAAGTGTGATTAATTCAATAATTATAAAAAAATAATTTTAATTTAATAATATGAAAAAAAATTAACACATAGTCTAAGTTTATAGTTTTATTTATTTATTAAAATACCATGTTGCCAATTACTGGATAGTCCAAGTTTACATTTTCAATTAAATTAGATTAAATGCCACTCAGCCGATCTGTTTGTTAGCCCATAGAAAATCGACGACTTCGTGGAATCTGAAAAGTCTCTGGTAACACATCTTTCTAGAATACGTGATAGAAAGTGAGGGTTGGACACGTGCATCTTTATTAATCTTGTTTAGCTAATCAGCTAGGAAAAGTTGATTACTATTTATACGTGTATTTAATAGTAATATGTGTATTTAATAGTGACCACTAATATATTGCTAACAAAATAACTGAATGGTGTGGGGTTAGTTTGGCTGTTTAATTAGCTCTCAACTAGGTTAACATATTTATTTAATCATTTTATAATATTTTTGTTATGTAGTCCAGCTGATCAAATCGTGTCTTTAATTAGAAGATTTCGAGCACCCGGGCTCCAATTTTTTTTTTATTTACATGGAGTGTCGGGTCAGCTTGCGCGTACTACGACTAATTTTTAAAGTTCACTGAATATCCTACAAAACTAATAGGCATGTAAGGCACCGCGAGAATGGCAAACATTCATGTCAAAGCTCGGACCCAGATGCAGTGGAAGGAGACAAATCCTTCCCACCACTAAACCAACCACTAGTTTGCATAATGATGTACAGTCAAACTCAGGTGCAGTCGGCTCCAATATTTCTTTTCATGTGATGTGATGTACAACCTGTTGATTGTTTGTTTTTTTTTTTTCAAAAAAAAAAGAGGTAGACAACCTCCGCCCCTTATAAAATGAAAAATAAATACTGGTCTAAGCAAGCTAGGCCGCGGAAGCTCAAGTATGTAGGGTTTTTTTTTAATAATTGACTTATTTGGTTTTTTTAATTATATTATTTTAAGTTGAGTTTTTATTGAATTTTATTATTTAATATTAAATTAATTATAAATTATTTTTTATATTTTAATTATATAATAAAAAAATAATTTAATCTAGCAAAACTTATGATATAAGTTATAAGTTTCACAATTTAACTAAATAAGTTTGAAATATTTTTTGTTTTACTAAATTTATTTAATTAATAATATTATATTAATATATTTTTTATATAATTTAATTTAAAATCTAAGCTAAACAGATAACTACCACAACTTAATCATGCATTTTGTAAAAAGATAAAAAGTGCTACTTAACTGAAAAGTAGCTTTTTATTGTTTTGTTTTAAAGTGTAAAATAGTTATTTTACTGTGCTAGAAAACATCCTAACCAATTTGTCCCTTAATTAATTTTGCAATAACTAATATATCTCATAGAAAAAGACAATTATATCCAAATTGAAAGCTCCTTCAGTTTTTTTTCGGTGAAGGGCAAAAAAGTCAAAGATGAGGATTGTGTACTGGAAATGGATCTCATCTTGTTGGGAACATTATCTTTCACTAATGTCATGAACGATTTAATTTGCCGAATTAACTTTAATTCATGCAACAAATTGCAATCAATAGAATTTATTTTCTGAAATCAATAACATATATATATATATATTTATTTATTTATTTTTTGATGTCTTGTGTTTGTGATGACTCCAGTGAACTCACTGGATTGTTTGTTCACAAAGATATCAGGAAGAACTGAAAAAAGTAAATAACGTGATGGAGATAGGAGACATTTGTCCTGCTTTCAAACGGTAAACAAAATACAACGCCCACATCCGAGGTTTCCTCTTATCGATCCTCTTGACCACTACAATCGTTCTAGAAAATATGTATAGAAAATGAAATTACTATGACCGGCTACAGTATTGTTTTATTGACTGGTCCGATGAGACGGTAGACTTTACAAAAAGACCGTTAGGTGTTAATGACCCGGTAAAACACGAACTATGCTCTGACTCACATTCTTCATGTACGCGCCTATCTCCGCGTACTCTTCAAACGCTCTAACATCAACCTTGTACTCGACAAACTTGGGGAAGAACAGCCAAAAGCCGGTGCTCATAACAAACCCAACAGTTAGCATCGTCGAGATCATCTTCGGCAGCCGCCACCTGTCGTTCAAGACCTTCTTTAGAGCGATCTCGGCCGTTAAACAAAATCCATGAAGCAGAAAGAACCACGAGATCTCCCAGTTGGGCCTCACGCGCCCCAGATAGTAGAAAATGATCTCGTGCATTAATGCCGAGACCACAAAGGTTGCGCAAACGGCGGGGAGTGGGGCCCATTTCCGACCAATCAGATGGGATCCGATGGCACGGGTGGGTTCGTATACGGTGGGGCGTAGGATACTGGTGACGACGAGGTTCCATCTGCAGCCCCAGAAGTCCTGCAGCGAGGTAGCAAGGTATGGCTCTTTGAATTGAGGTTCAAGTTCCAGGCCTAGAAAATTTCGAGCCAGGACTGCACCCACGGCTAGAAGGATTTCAAGGAGAAAGTAGACATGGAAAGAGTACATAATCAAGATAACATTTGGATGAATGTAATCGCTGTAGTCATATGCACGTATCAACATGGCCAAGAGTACACCCTTTATTGCATAATTCCGAAGGCCTTCTTTACCAGCTCTGCTAGGAGCTGGGTTCTCTTTGCTTTGCCCATCTAGGCGAGGATTTGGCGATGGGGTTTCTTTGTTTTTATCCTTTTGTCGGATCTTGATTGGTAAGCAAGCAAGAGCTATAAAAAGTGGTAGTGAGATTGATGGATCTGAAGACAGAGGACCTTTACCGAAAGCAAAGAGCAGGACCTTGAAGTTGGCCAACCAAGCGATGAAGAATGCTGTGCTACCACCAAGATGCACGGAGGAGATTTTAAGAGGGAGGTAGAGAAAGAGGCAAACTACTGGCAGTACAGAAAGGAGTCTTTTTGTTCCTTTAGGAACTATGTTCCTAATGGAATAGCAAAAGCACAGAGAAACGAGGACTGAAATCCACACCTTAATGAAGTTAAGAATCTCACCCTCCATTTTTGTGTGTCTCTAGGTTTTCTTATGCTTTGCTCTTTGATACTGTTATTGGTGAAGCTTTAAAGAGGAGGGTTTTGGGTCAAAATTTAGGGCCTAAAGAAGGTTCGTAGAAATAGTCGTCCGTTGACACACTATATCCATAGGCAGAACGAACGCCAGGGAAACTCCATTTTCAAAGGTTCGATCTTCTTCTGCTTCTTTTAAATATTCTGACCATAAGGGAGGACGCAGAAGAGGACTGGAGTATTGTGAAGGAAATTAACACTATTAAACTCAAGTCTATTGCAAGGGAAAAGGAAAGTATTCGCTCAAGTTAAAAGCAATCGAAATCGCTTCTACTTTTAATGCTTCTTACCTGGTATGCGAACACAATTTTCTTCTTTTACTTTTTTCGCGGAGGCGCCCGCATATAACATGCGTTTAGATGGATGCCGAGATGGTGGAATTCTTCCTTTTTAGGCAGCACGGGCAAATAAAATATGTTTGGATGGATGTGCAGACGGTGGACGATTTGTAGTCCACATCACTAATTGACTAAATTTTCCAGGAAATATATAACTCCATTAATTATCCCATTAACCAAGATTTTATAAGTAAATCTCTTTGCACATTTTCAAAAAATGTTAGAAAAAGAAAAACATAAATATATAATTTTTTAAAACTCTTGGCCGAGTTTAATATAGGCACAAGAGGGTTTGACATTAGCCAAATTCATCATTTAAATTTGACTGGTGCTTCCAAGCTAATGAGATAGGCTTGTTGCACATTTCCCATTGATGCCAAGCCCAAAGATTTCTTGTCATCATACTTTGAGCATGCATAGCGGATTAACTATATTCATGAATTTAAATATAATACTCGGATTTAATGCCACACCTCCACAAAATTTTATATAGATTTTAAAGGGATTATTTCACAACAAATATATTTAATTAAATAATTCTTCATTTATTAGCTGAATAATACCAGTATAAGATAGATGAATGGTTGTAGTTTTTTGAATAAAATAAGTGAAATACAATTATAAATACTACCACAATCTTTATATTTATAGATAGAATTTTCCGTCAATATTTGCATTATCATTTTATTGGTAATTAATTTACCGACAGAAATGATCCATCAAAAAATCTTTCATCGGTGATTTTTTATTTGTCGACAAGTCTATTGGTAATAAAAAAATTATTTCACCAATAAATTTACTAAAAAAAAAAGCTTGCAAAAAAAAAATTATCCGCTTCATTACGTCGATATTTCTCTTGGTAAGTTCGTATGTAATTTTGTTGATAATTATTTAACAATATTTTTTTGAAGAATCTATTTTACATAACTATAAAATAATTAAATCAATATAAATCAACAATCTATAATACTTGAAAAAAAATCAAATCAAACAAATTTCCAACAAATAAATAATAAGAAAAAAATAAATTCAACTAAAAAAATTCATATGAAAAAAATAAAGTTGCAATTGCTAAAAATTTAAAAATCCTATAAATAAATCAACTAAAAATTGATCTCATATGGAAAAAAAATAATCCTATAACAACATTCATACAGTTATTAAAAAAAATAAAAAACAAATATAGTGAAAACAAAAACTCGAATAAAAAAGAAAAAAAATCTTAACTTAATATAGTTGCAAGTGAAGCTATGAAGAGAAAAAAATCATAAAGTATATTAATTAAAAGAACTAAGAAGAAAAAAGAAGAAAAACACATATTTGAGCATAGAGAAGAAGAGAAAGAGTTAAGCAGAAAAGAGAAGAGAAGATAAAGAAATTGATATTGATGTTTTTTACATATGGGAAAGAAGAAGGGAAAGAAAAGAAAGAAAAAGAAAGGAACCTTATCTGTTGTGAAATTAGAGATTCCAAACTTTTTATTTGGGTGTTTTACTGATAGGTTAACTGACGAATAATTAAATATTAATTTTTTTAAAATATTTTGTGGTTAATATTTAATTTAATAAAAACATTTCAGAAACCGCCAAATATCCCGGTGACTTTTCAATATGTCAATGATTTTGTCTGTAATATTTAATTTAAATTTTAAATGTAATCAAAAAATTTTAGAAACCTGCCAAATAACACCAATGAATTTTTCATTCGTTGGTGCTTTTGTCTTCAAAAAATAATAGTTAATAGTGTAATTATAAAGTAAATAGTTTTAGAGCTCTCTGAAAAATATTGACGGAATTTTTCATTGGTGATTCTGTCTGTAATTAACATGATGAACAATGTTAACATTTTACTAACAGAATTATTGATGAATTTTACCAATAAAATTTATTCAATCTATAATTCCGTTGGTAAAAAATGACACATCATCGTTTTTTTGCTTTGCTTAAATTTTCTTTTCTATTGTAATTTTCTTAGTATATACCGAAGGTATATATCCGTTGGAAATTTACTGATGAAAATATTCCTTCAGTATTTTTGTTTGTATTTATCAATTTTTTGGTAGTGAAATATCTCATAAATCCTTCAAACTTCATATTCACAATCTCTTCGTTCTTGATATTTTAGTATTATATATTTTTATAGTTTATCGCTCTAAGGCCCCATTTGTTTACTAGAAAGTAGTTTTTTTTTGGAAATTAAATTTTGAAAAAGTGAATTGTTTTCTGATGTTTGGCAATGTAATGGAAAATAAGTTGGAAAACACTTTCGAGTATTTGGTTATGTCATAGAAAATAAGCCGGAAAATAACTTATTAATGTTTTATTTTTTTTCAAGTTTATTAAAATAATAAGGAACAAATCTTCCAAATTAAAAAGTTGAAGGAAAATGAAATTGAAAAAATATATAATTTCATAAATTATCTCAAATAAAATAAATAATAATTAAAATAATAGAGATCAAATCTAAAAAAAAAGATGAAGAAATTAAAATAATAATAATTAACATTTCATAAATTATTTCAAATAAAATAAGTAACAATCAAAAGGATGAGGAACAAATTTGATACATAAAAAATTTCAATAAAACAATGATTGAGAAAAAACAAATAACAATTTTAAAAATGAGAATTAAATTTTATAAGATGAAATTAAAAAATAAATATTCAAAATAAAATATATAT